GCGAGGCACCGCAGGGCTCGTCCTGCTGTCTGGAATAGCAGCTATTGGAATGCTGCCCAGCTCGGGGTGTCTTCTTCACCAGCCACCCAGCACCGGGCAGCGCTGCCAGGAGGGACCTCTGGGCTGGACGCCTGGGACTGTGTGGGCATCAACAGCCCCTTTGCGAGTGGTGTGGGGGGAGAGGTGGGCTCGGGGACACGTCTCACCACGCCGGGAGGGAGGAGACCCTCGTCACTGGGGTTCTGCCACTGGGGACGTGCCATGGTCCCTGCAGCGTGGTGAAACCTGCGCGTGAGCTGCCCGTGCCAGGCATCGCGGGGTGCAGTTCCCGAAGGCCACGCTGTTTCCCTGTGCGCCCCTGGAGCTTTCCATGGAAGGAGATACAAGACAAACCAGCCCTGGCCAGCGGTAAACCTCCCTTCCTCTGGGGTTATTTCCTTCCCTGGAAGTTGGGAACTGAATTAAGCCTGTTTGAGTCAGGGGGACATCCTCCAGGCTCATTTCAGGAGGGCAATACTCTGTCTCCATCACCACCAGCAGCACCCTTGGCCACAGCTTCGAATTTAGCATGATGAACACAGAGACCAGGCCACGTAATGAGCACTAAGCAGTTCTCTTCATAATCCTAACAAGGCTCAGCAGAAATCATTAGGAAAAAGCCTGCCACTACATTTAGATGAGTTTTATACAGCTTTCAGGTCATTTATAGAGCCAATTTTATGCCATCCTAAGGCAGGAGGAGCATCTCCTGCTGCCCATGATCCACCTCAGCCTGGCTCACGCGGAAACGTCTGGCCGGGAGCGCGGGGGTGCGATGCTCTGTGTGTTCACCTCCGGCGCGGGCTCCTGCTCTGGGATGGTGCTGGGTGCCGGTGCCTGGGCTGCATCCCGTGGAAACCCAGGGAGAGCTGTGCCTGCTGGGCTCCCCTCGCCTGCGGCGCTGCGTGGCAGCCGTGGGCATGGCGGTGGCACGCTGGCCCGGGGCACGTGTGAGCCATGGACCCCGCTCACCCACTCACACCGGCCTCTGCGCTTGGGATTTGGGGGCTTACACCATCTCAGCAGTGCCTGTGCATTCAGGAAAGCACTCATGGGTAATTAAAAAGGCTTTTTTATTTCCTTATTTCCACATTTCCACTGCATTCTCTCAACTTTGGCCTTCCAAGAGCAGAAATTTATTAAAACACAGTGATTTCTGAAAAACGTGTAGATTGCTATGGTCTCTCTTCAACGAACCAGTCCATCTCCCAGCATGGTGTAACCTCCCGTGGGTTAGCTAAGCCTCGTGATTTCCTTTATCCACTTCAGGTACTTGGAGACCCTGGTGTAGACGCCGTATTTACCTGGCTTGGCACATTCCTCGCCCCAGCTGGTGATGCCCGTGAGAAACCAGGTGCCCTCGATCTCGGTGGTGTAGGGGCCTCCGCTGTCCCCACCGCAGGTGTCACTGCCCCCGGCTGGGAAGCCCTCGCAGAACATGTTCTGCAGGATGGTGGTGGAGGTGCTTTTGAGGCAGGTCGGCCGGTCGACGAAGGGCACCTTGAGGATCTGGAGGATGGTGGCCGGCCGGCCACGGGAGAGCGGGCTGCCCCCGCCGCTCACCGTCCCCGCCCCGCAGCAGGGCGTTGGTGAACTCCCGGTTACCGATGCAGATGGGGGTGACGTAGCTGTTGAAGCTGAGCGGCTGGTCCAGCTCCAGGAGGGCGATGTCGTTGTGGTGCTTGTTGATCGTGGCGTTGTACGTGGGATGGGGAAGGATTTTCACCACCTTACGCCACTGCTCCGTGTTGTCCTCCTCGTTGGTGTTGTACTCACCTGCAGAGACAAGCGTGGCTTGGGCTCTGTGGACGGACCAGTAACCATGCCCTGGCGACGCCGTCCCACAGAGTCACAGAATCACAGAATGGTCGGGGTGGGAAGGGACCTCT